TTTGGTTATGGCCTCGAAGGTCACAATTGGAAGCTGTTAGCCCTGGTCGGCCCGTTTAGCCCTTGTTTGCGCAGTGGAAATGCGGCTAATAATTTATCACTGGCATGTAGCTAAACAAATGTGAACGGGTGTCCGGCCATGAAAAGCACCATAGTCTGTATTTGCTTCTTACACTCTTTTGTGTGTGAGACCAAGAGAACTGCTATTACACACACCTGTAGGTGAGCTTGTTGGTCTGCCATTTGGGTTTGCCTCCAAATGTGGAGTACGCAGCAACATCTGGACCTCCACAGCGGGGCTTCTTCATCATCTCCATTGTTTCTTTGTCCAGCTTTCCAGAGACCTTTAGCCCGAAAAACTTCTGCATCTCTTTCATCTTCTCAGTCAGTGGACTGGCCTCTCTTCGGAAGCGCTCCTGTGCTGATGGAGGCTTATAATTTATATTACAAAAAAAAAAAGTTTTTGCAAAGTTTGAAAGTATGTAATCTTTACATAGTTTTTTTTTTTTTTACCATGCATAATAACTTACAGATTACCAAGTGCAGGAGTGAAGCTTGACACAGTTATTTTTTACTCTGAAATAATGCAACCATTGTTCCCTTATCAGAATGAGAACAGCAAGAAATCAATAGACACACATGGACATGTCAGACATAGTCTCAGAGGAAGTTCCTGATTCATCGTCATCTCTGTGATTCATTAGGGTGGCATTAGTCACTCAACAACAACCGGGACGTTCATGTGTGTGCGTGCAGGTACAGTAGGAGCTAATGGGGGATTGAAATGCTGGTGCACGTCCAAACAAACCTTAAACACCTCCTCTTATATCCTCAAGAGGAAAGTGGTGTCTATATTCACTTAGAATATGGAAGAAGTTGCATTTTTAAGGTTAGAGTTTTGTTTAATTTGTACAATTTCAAAACATGTCAAAGGGAAATCCCCAGTTTATGAAATGAGGCTCTGCATGTACAGTTTAGAAATATCTGCATAAGACAGATGTGTAATATTTTATAATACACAAATGAAGACTTTTAAGCTTGGAAAATAATGCAAAAAGCACCATGAAACTATCATGAAAGTGGTTTATATGTATGGCTCATGCACTATATTTTAATATATGGGAGAGTGTAGTGTGATATAGTATTTTTTTTACATTTTTCAATTTCTTCAGTATTCAATTATCCATTACCTCACAGGAATTTTGTCCATATATATCTGAGCGGCCTGTATGTGACAGAAATAATATGCTTGTTTTTTTAAATTTTAGAAACACAGACAAGTACTCATCCATTCCTTTAAACACATCCATTCCAGAAACGCTTCATATTATATCAACGGCAGCATGTGCTGTGATTTGCTGATCTGACATTTTATAAAAGGCTTAGATGATTTGATCTTTCAGTTTTTACTAAGTTTTCAATTAATATTGGTTTTACAATAGGTATTATCTGAGTCTGAAAGGCTCTGAGTCTTGAGTATTTCCCAACCAAACACAATTCTTGCTTTCAAAATGAACATGCTTGCTTGTGAATTGAATTAGGCACTTTAATTTATCTGAAAACAGTCACATTAAATGATTCTGTAAATACATTCTTTTAAAACTTTAAATGTTTCTTAGGCACATGTATTAAAGTAAGTGCTGTAGTTTTAAAATACAGCGTTACGCTCCATCTCCATCCATGTTTCAGGGAACTTGACTAACAGGGCAAGAAGTGATCGCTCTTCAGCAAACGAAGGAGATTTCTGTTGCTGGAGCTGAACTCAAACAAATTTGCCCCACTGAAGAGATAAATGTTGTCTGGAAGAAAAGAAGTCATTGAACTTCATGAAATTATACATTAATGCTAGAATAATTTATTTGTATTGTTGCAGATCTGTAACCTCTCCAGTCAACCCTGGAAATCCATTTTCCGCTCGTTTGGGATTCCCTTTGTCCATCTTCATCTTTTGTCACAGATGCTGGCAGACCAAAGCTGCTGAGAGGTTTAGGATAGCCGGGCTCAAGATTTTTGTCATTAAACGCCCAGACTTGTTTACCTATAAATAAATACAGGCCACGATAAGAGTTTTTCTGAGCACTGATATAGAGATCGTAATGGGGATTGTGTTCTCAGCATTCCCAGATTGTTTGAGAAGATACCTTTGAATAGGAAAAGTTTATCTTGCACTGGATCCTCATAAGCAGCATCTATATTATCCAGAGCGTTGGGTCAGAAACTTTTATCGAAAGTTGTGCTAAATTTCTGCTCTGAGATCTATGCCAGAAAAAGCTGAAGAGAGAGATATTCAATTTAAATATTTTATGTTTCTACTGTATAGAAAATACACAAGACTGGTGTCTGTTTTTATGTATTACCTGTCGTTAAAGAACATTGTTTCTCCCTTAAAAGTCGTCACTGCATCCCAGACCAGGTTCTGATAAGCTGGTTCTGAATCAGTTAGACCTGATGTGATTACCACATGATCATACCATATGTGACAGACTGGAAATGTGAGAGTGAAAGATAAAAATATTGAGTAATAATGGGCACCCCAAAACTTTTTTTCCCTCTTTTTCTTCAGTTTTATTCTTTAAGAGACTGTTTAAAAATGTGTTCTAATGTTACATGAATTTAAGTGTCTTCTGTAAGATGCAGTGATGAGGCATTTACGTTCTGGCAAAAGGGCAAAGCCATTAAAGAAAGCGCCAGAACGCTGCAGATTCTAATCTGTATGTATCTCATCATTTCCTACAGGTATGTAAAAGGGGTTATATAGATTAATATCTATCAATATTGAAACTTAAGAGGTTCATAAATGTTCAGAGATGATGTTTGTACTGTTAAAGTGATTGTCGAGTTTTAAAAAAGATTAGTTTATTTGCGATTCAGTCGATGTAATTTCTAGTTGAGTAAACAGAGTAAAAAAATCACGATACTGTTAAAAATGTGAAGTGTAAGTAAGAAATGTGAAACAATCTACATTCCCTGTGTAATCTTGATAGATTTCCCAGGTTGAGCTGAACAATGTGCTATATTGAGATGGAGAAAAATGCATATGTTATTATTTACTGCCAAGGCATTATTAGGTAAACTGCCAACTTATATTTGTAATCTTTTATCATATTATACTTGTAATTATAGCACTAGAAACTCTTACAAATTACATTTGACTGTTCCTAGAGTACGCTCTGAATTTGGCAAAACTGCCTTTTCCTCCTATGGTCCTAGGCTATGGAATGAAATGCAGAGTGTTACGATGTTAGAAACAATTCCATCTCTAAATATTTTTAGAAATCTTTTGGAGTTCTACCTGGAAGAAACTTGTGAATGTTTTATGTAATTTTTAATATGATGTTGGATGATATATATATATATTTTTTTTTTTTTATTTTATTTTTTTTATGTGTGTGTCTAATCTGTATGTGAAACTTTCTGTGCTGCCATTTTGGCCAGGACTCCCTGGTAGAAGAGATTTATATCTCAATGGGATAATTCCTGGTAAAATAAAGGATAATAATAATAATTGAGTTTAGTCAATTTTGTTTATGTGGTTTTCTGTCAAATTTACACTTGTAAGGGTTAAAAACATCATACCTGCATCAATTAAGACTGTTGATTCTTATTAACTGGTTATTCCATCAAATACAATTGCTGTTGCATTGTAGTGAATCTGATTTCTCTTTGTATAGACACTATATCTAAAATAGACAAAGTGAAACATTAAAGACCAACTGAAGTGTTGAGTGAACACATATGCTGATGGTAAGGCACAAGACAGGTGTTTAGTTGTATCTAGATGTTTATTGTTGCATAAAAATGTACAACCAAAGAGAAATGTTCAAATGCATTACATTCGCAGACTTAATGGACATAAATTTAAATGCTGTGAATTGAATTGTCCACAAAGCATGACCTGTAAAGGAATATTGTTAATAGTTATGATTTCAAACGTGTTATACTTGCCTGTATAAGAAGAGAAAAAAAAAATAAGAAAAAGGAAAAAGACATTAAAGAAAGCGCCAGAACACTGCAGATTCTAATCTGTGTGTATCTTATCATTTCCTACAGTTACTAGCTCTCATCCTTCCATGTTTGAGGCCGGTTACGCATAGAGCGACTGAATCCCTCTGATGTCATCACTGGACAGAGAGAAACGATCCGGATCAGTAAAGCTGTATGTGGGAAACATCAGAGCGCCAGGAACGTTAGTATGAGAAAGACCCAAAGAGTGACCAAACTCATGGGCGGCCACCAAGAACAGGACATGACCTGTGGAGAAATGAAGCAGAATAGTTTAGGTACAAATGAAAAAGATTAATTGCCACTTTAGATTTTTTTACTTGAAATTAAAGTGGTGTCAAAGTTGAAACTTTGAAAAATATTTCAGCAAAATAATTTCACCTTTTGATGAGCCCAAGGTGAAAAACTCATCATCATCGAAATGTGCATCTCCACCGATTCCAGTAGAAGGAGCAAAAGCATGAGCCAAAGTGCCTTGTGGTCCATCAAATGGCTGAGCATCGCCATGATCTGTGGGAAAGAGTTTAGTTGACTTCTTCTCTCCTTACATTCATATATAGGTGAAACGTTGAGAATCTGTATTTTAAAAATACTGAATTGTTGTGCAATGAATTGAGTTGAACGGTTATGAATCTACTCGGGACTTGCTTTTAACATGTATATTGCCAAAATACCAAGTTTAAATTTAGTTCAAAAGAATTCATCAAAATGAAAAGCACATGGTTGTTAAAATAGGAATATAGATAAATTGATAGATGTATCTTACCCCTTGTAGCAAAGGAGATCATGATGTCAGCTGTGCCTTTGTTGATACGAGAGAATCTCAGAGGAGTGACATTGGCCCAGACCTGCAGGGCTTTCTTTATGGATTTATCCACTTCAGCATTTGACATGTCAGGGGTGTAGTTCACGATTCTGTGAAAAAGGACCATAATCTGTATCTGCTTCTTTCACTCTTTCTTTTTCCAGTCATTCAAAGAGAACTGCTATTACACACACCTGTAGGTGAGCTTGTTTTTCTGCCATTTGGGTTTGCCTTCAAATGTGGAGTACGCAGCAACATCTGGAACTCCACAGCGGGGCTTCTTCATCACCTCCAGTGTTTCTTTATTCAGAGTTCCAGTGACCTTAAGCCCGAAAAACTTCTGCATCTCTTTCAGCTTATCGGACGGTGGATCGATCTCTTCTTCTGGGCGAAAATTAGTAGTGCCCATTAAATCTTTCAGACTGTAGAATTTTCTCAGGTAATCCTAAAAGGCAAACAAACATGTAATTATTGGAGAAATTATGGCCAGTAAGCATACAAACAAGTATTATTTGAGGGAAAAAAACATACCCTTGCAATGGCTTTATTTTTGTAAGCAGGCTTTAAAATCGGTCCAGCGTGAATAGCAAGCACCAAGCTCGCGAGAAAACACAGCTGGCGGCGAATCCCCATGTTGAGAGTTTCTTCTTCTGCTCGTGTGCTTCGCTTCTGATTGACAAAGGTCTGATGACGACTTATATACTCTTAAAACTGTGAGGTGTTGAGCAACAGGTGAAATTAAACCATTAAACTGACAGGCAAGGCAATTATAACAGGATTTTCAGCTTGACGCAGCCTCTTCCTCCTCGCCCAGGTATTAATATTATTTCTCTTCCTCATACCTTTATTTAATGACAATATTAAGTAATGATTAATATTAATAAAAGCGTGTCTATGTATTATACACACAAACAATGGCAACACGATAATCATTTTTGGTTAAATTTGTGATTAAATCTTGCAGGTAAAACACAGCGATGGCGTCACTAACATTACAGAATGGTCTTATTTAACTTAAAATAACTAAATGTAAAGTGCACTATAAAACACCCCAGTGCCCAAAGCTAATAACAAAATCAGGAAGAAAATAACTTAACATTTAAATAAATGTGATGGTTTGTGCAGAGAATTCTGGGAATGCCCATTTATACTTTTTACTCATAAAAAACATTGTTTTAACAATATTTTTCCTTAAATGCACGTATTGTCTTGTTAAATATAATACACTGCAGCAGCTAAAATTAGGTGACCTTCAAGTTAAAATACATGTTGTCTAATAAAATATTATATTAATTACTCTAAATAGTAATGTAACTTAAATTTAACCAATTAACAAAGTTGTACTACAGCAAAATCTTTTTATTTTATGAAATGCTGAAGAAATTTTCAGCGCTTAAAACACCTCCTCTCAAAATGGTATAACTGGTTTATTCAGTTATAAAATGGTAAATGTTGCATTTTTTAAAGTTAGGATTTCCATTAGAGTTTGGTTGTACTATTTGTTATTTTCTTCATTTTAGAACAAAATAAATCAAGGGAGAGCCCCAGAGTATGAGGTGTGCTTAGGGCGTTATGAAATATTTGTAGGTAATGCTAACTGTTGTCACTCTTTATTTACTCTTTATTACTCAGAGGAATGAGTAATAATTTATAATGAATACACCATGACTGAGACTTTCAAGGCTCAAAAATAATGCATAAGCACTTTAAAACAATCATGAAAGTGATGCATATGACTTGTGCACTATATTTCAGTTTTTCTCAAGCCATATGATAGTTTTATGTGAGGAACAGAAACAAATTTATGATAGTTTTGTGTGAGGAACAGACAGAAATGTATGTCAGTCATTAAGCAACAAGCAGAACTCCCACTGTGTGCAGAACTGCAGAAACGTGCCTCCAGGAGTTACTTTGACAGGTTTTCACTGCATCACTTTTACACTTTATGCACATAAAAAAATGAGGGTGGATGGTGGGAGCATGTGATGACGTCAACATCAGAGCAAATTACGGATGATGGAATTAGAGAATGCGGGTTAGGCAGAGATTCGGATGAGTCAGAATTAATCTTTAATTATCATTAAATTAATGTTTTCATTTTAATAAATTAATCGATTGGCATCGCCCTCGAAAAACAGTTGATGTTTTCTTTGTTTTTCATGTCGTTTCCCATGCACAGGAGTTTCCTTTTTAGGCATGAAGGAAATATTTAAATAAATGTTATAAGGAAATGTTAAAATAAAAGTAAATTGCATTTTTTTTTTATAAATATTAATAATAATATTAAAAATCACTATTATATTTATTTATTTATTTGTGCTCTTGATTTTTTCCTTTGAAAGCTATTTTGTCATATTATCATACTGTGTTTTGTTCAGTTTAAAAACAAAATTTAAAAAAAGGAGGAAAAAAGAACATGTTTCTTGCATGGGTATTTAAGACAAGATTATATATACTAAAATATATCTATTAAAACTTTACACCAAAATATTTACATTATTATTAAATGATTAAATATTTCATATTTTCATTTTCATAAAATATTTAAATGTTTAGCCCTACTGTGGGTGCAAGGGGAACAATCATTTCATCTTAGATCCTTAATATGTGCCTCACTCTCTCTAATAGGGAAGCGTTATATCAGTTCTCAAAATCTAGTAGTTACACACATTCTGAAAATCTGGTCACCCAGTTTAGGATACATTTTGTTTGCAGGAAGCCTCTGTTCTGGGCCCATTGTTTCTAACTGTTTATTCCATCCCATCCTAGCCTAGAATCTGCATTACGTGTTTGTTAACAGAAAGGGATCAGGGTCTCAAAAGATTTATTCTTAAATAACACCTTTTGCACTTTTGAAGATCGATTTACTCTGCCCAGATCTTATTTTTTTCAGATTCATACAAATCATGAGCTTTATTATGAAAGTAACTCCTTTCCAGTGTTGCTTGATTTGAATCCAAACAGCAAGGGACTCATTTCAGGCATATATTCTATTATACCATGGACTGCCTGAATACTCAATTCTGATTGGCTGGCTGGTATGCATTAAAACCATCAGTTTAATCACCGTTCTATATTAATGTGCTGCTTTAATTGATGCACACAAACCTGACACAAACACATAGGCCTAAACACTCGCACGCAGAGATCGGAGATCGCGCTGTGCACACAGAAACATTCAGGAGCACAGAAACTTGCAGTCAACACTGCCCCGCGACTTTTGTTAATAAAATAATTCTATACTGAATCGCTACAATATATTTCTGTTCAACGAGGATGTAAAATCACAGTTTTTGAAGTAACTAAACTCGCAGCTACATTGTTTGGCAGTGGCGTGCACAGGGGGGTATAAGTGGTATAAGTTGGTATAAGACAATGGTATAAGATGGATAATGCACGACTAGCTGTGCATTAAACGATTTTAATGCACTCCGCTTCGCGTCGGGTGGTTCTTTGCCTCTGTGTTGTGCATTAAAATCGTTTAATGCACAGCTAGCCTTACAGTAGGCTATCTCTTAACCCTCTATAGATGCACAAAATTTAGAGAGTATTCAGACAGCCTGGCAGTGTGATTTGGGCATAGACTTTATGGAGAGATGGAGAGACTTATGGAGAGACTTTATGCAGCTCTTGTCCAATTTAAAATACTTACCAGATTCCATTTCAACTCAAAACTAGCTAAGATTTATCCCATTGTTAGTTCTGCATGTAAAAGGTGCTCGGCACTCACCTGCCACAACAGCTCATATGTTTTGGTCTTGTCCCAGGTTGGAGGAATTTTGGAGGGAGATCTTGGAGTTCTATAAAAAATATCTTTGGTTTTAGTATATTTTTGATATTACTATTAATCCTGACCCCTAGTCAATAGCCATCTTGGGTTTAGAGAAGAAAGATATATATTCGTTTATTGGCATTACTTCACTTTTAGTAAGGCGTTTAATTCCATTACAGTGGAAAAGGGCTGATCCTCCAACACACGGTAGATGGGTTAAAGAGGTTATGAGTTATATTCAACTTGAAAAGATAACATTTACCATTTGAGGCTCAAAATGGAAGTTTTATGAAACCTAGTAGGGGCCAGTTGCATAAACTTAGCCTCTAGCTGTTAGCCAAGGGGTAATCAGTCTTATTTTTGGATTCAACTTATACTAATCAATGCTTTTATGTAACCGAATGAAAAAAAAAAATGATCACCAGTTTTAAAGAAAAAAATTAGATGACTAATTTGTAAGACTACTCTAAACCTTTTACGCAACTGGCCTGGTCTCCCTTTCTAAGATATTTTGAATAATCACACCTGCTTGAAGAATGATTCTAATCCCCCCTAACCCCCTTTAATGTAAATTATTTTATGAATCTGTTTATATGTATCTATTTATTTACTTATTTGTTTGTTTGCTTTACCTTGCATTATTATTTATACTGTTATTTACGGTGGCCGAGAGAGCTCAACGTGCTGCAACTTAAGAAAACACATGTTGCAGCGCATGTGTTGTCAAACTGATGAAGATGTTTTCTTAATTTACTGGTGTTTTTTCAATTTGCATGAGTTTTCTTAAGTTGCAGCGCCTTGAGCTCTCTCGGCCACCGTAGTTATTGCTATTACTTTGTTTCTTGGTTTTCAACATTTAAAAAAAAAAACTTTATTGTAATATATGTGTAATAACTTTTCTCTTAGTTCAGCCTTCTAAGTGGAAAACAGCTGATAAGCTGGATAAACAAGGGACATTTGTATCTTTTGTGTTTGTACTGATCACTTATATACAGGGGTGCACATAAGTGGTCCGCATGCGCGACCAAAATAAAAAATGCACTGTATAAATAAGTTCAGACCGCGCATTGGCTTACCGACATGGATGGCAGCTGTTAATGCACAGTTACCATTTTAGATCGACAAACTGTACTGTATAAGATTTCTATTCAAATTGAAAGCATAAATCTAGGCTACCTGCTGCCGTTTTCAAAGCACAATGCAAAACTGTGACATTTCATTCACTGACGCTCTTCAATCGGCAGCGCTAAACCCGGAAACGCATATACTTACTCGCCAAAATAAAAGCCTGCTGATTTTAGGGTTGAAAATGATGAAAATTCATATATATATATATATATAAAAAAAAGAAGAAGAACAAGAGGAAGTAAATATTAGCATTTTATTTTTAAGTTTACTATAAAATAACTGTATTTGTATTTAATACGCCCTTTTTATTTTAAAATATAATAGTATTATCACACTTTATTATTTTGTTTATTATTTTATTTAAAAAATATCTAAATAAAGTGCAAAAATATTATCACTATTATTAACTTATTTTTTATAGTTATATTTAATGGGTCACACTTTGTGCAGAGTTCCAAACCAAATCTTCAGGTTCTCTTATGAGAACCAGTCTGAAAAACGTATAAAAATGACTTTTTATTTTGGGTGGGAAAAAAAATATTTCATCCCATTTTTTGGGAGCTTGGGGGTCCCTGATAATATATCCATAATAAAATATGTCATAAATCGGTTAGTCGTGACTGGCAGCGCTGCGCTATGGGAATCGACCCGTTTGTTCCGTGCTCCCATCCAGTGTGGCCAATTTGGGGATTTTGTCGCCAAATTTAGCTACTTTCTCAAAAAAATTTTTTTTACATTTTTTGTGACAAGGAGCTATTTTAGCTATATTTAAATAAAACTAGCGATTTTTTGGAGATTTTTAATTTTTTACTTGGCCACACCCTGCCGTAGGCCCGTGACCTCTCACGTTTGCTCTCAATCATGCCAACGAGTCTGCGCAGTGAACACACCAGTACGCCACGCCTGCCATGACGCACACCACAATTTCATTATAAGCATAGTTTGTATGAATAAAGTTTTTGTTTTTGGAGAATCATAATATCTCTTATCTGTTGTATTTGAGCAGGACAGGGATGCACTTTGGTGACACATAAAACAAATTCCCAACATTATGTGTCTTTCCATCATTTCCATCATGTTTGATGTGCTTGCAGATCACAAGCATTTCCTAATTTCACTTCAGATTTTTTTGTTATACTTCATCTTTTGTTATATTTTTTATACTGTCATCATTTGTAAAGTATATATATATATATATTTACTTTCCTTTACCTTTACCAAATGTGCCTGTATTTACTTTGTTTTCATATTTGGCGACTTTTTGTGAAAAACTTTTGAGGGTGGTTCTAGAGATTTTCTGAGGGAGGGGTTTGGCAACACTGCTCCCGTCAACGGTTTCGAACAGAATCGCTGCGCGAGACTCGAGGAAGGAGAGGAAGCCGCCAGAAGCAGCAGCGAAATTACTGCCTTGTTCAGGACTTCAACAAGTGCAGGTCAGTTTCATCTGTAAACTACTGTAGTTTTGAGAATTAAACTGCTAGCATCTATAGGCTTTCAGGAGCACCCTATTATCATCAGTCAGAATACTGTGCTAAAAGAAATCATTTTATTATCGATTGTAAAGTTATATTAATAAATTTAGCAGACAGATATTCACATTAATTTATTGTATAGGGGGAGAGCTAGAGCAGACGGCAACACAAAAATATGAGCCATAATAATGTCAAATAATGCAATAGTGTGTTATTAGTATTATTTTTCAATAAAGATATTGTACTAATTTTGACATTTAGGCACTTTAGAAAATGTGTTTTAATATGTTAGTATGAAATAGGTTTGTTAAATAGGTTAAAGTCGTTTTAGGATAAATAACATTCTGTGCAAATAAATTGCAACGAGGTGGTTGTTTTGAAACAAGGTGAGCACAATTCTGTTTATAACAGTAGAGCTGCTGGTGAAGAAGTGACAGGTACAAGAAAAAAGGGAGAGACAGAGATATTGGGGAAAATAAAGAAAAGGAAAAGGGAAGTGAAGGTGCAGTTCATGAGACAACCTTTAATTATTTTCCACAGCCCCAGACTAAGGATTTAGACCTTTTTATGCGATGGCCATACAAATAATAGGGTTGTCTGTGCTTATAGAATTTGTTGTGGTTGTATAGGATGGCCTGGATGAGTGTGAGATTTCCCTGCCTGAAATTGCGTCCCAGTCCGGCCCTGTGTGTGTGTGTGTGTGTGAGAGAGAGAGAGAAAGAGAGCAAGAGTGTACTGGTACTCCCTACATTATGGGGACCCCACGAGGATAGTGATACCAGTAAATATGGTTCTTGTGGGGCCAATTTTCCACATGAGGAAAACGGCTTATAAATCGTACAGAAGAATTTTTTTTTTTTTTTTTGAAAATCTAAAATAACAGAAAGTTTTCAGTGAGGGGTAGGTTTAGCGGTAGGGGTACAATGTACAGTTTGTACAGAATAAAAATCATTACGTCTATGGAATGTTCCCATAAAAAATGAAAGCCCAATGTGTGTGTGTGTGTGTGTGTGTGTGTGTACTGCTAATGAAGAAGATTGATCAATTTTGCCAGAAAACACTACACATTTAGCCAGTTTATGAACTGATATGACTGAGTGACAAAATTATATTTCCCATCATTCTCTGTGGCAGAATAATAATAGTAATAATAAGAAGAAGAATATAATAATGCACATTCTTTGAGTTTTCTGAACTTGTAAAAACTGCCCAGGAGGACATGAATGCATAATTTTCCTGATTATGCATCTGAGCACATCTCCACACTGTAGCATGATAAAGCCTGAACAAAAGTGGTCTAACTGCACAATGTTGACCTGAGGCAACGAACAAAAAAACACAGTTTTAGTATATGAATAAGAAATAAAATAAGCCTTTAAACAATCAAACATTCTTCTTTACATACAAATGCGCATATATATATATTTTTAAGTTATTTTAATTTAAACATGTTAAAAAGTGATATTTATACCAATTGGTGGCACTGTCCCATGTGGCTTTGCTTCCTGAAAGCATTTCTGAAATTTAAGTTCCTCTGATAACCTCCAAAGCACTTTGCAAAATGCTTAAAGGGATAGTTCACCCAAAAATCGTCGTGTCGTTCCAAACCAGTAAGACCTTCGTTCATCTTCAGAACACAAATTAAGATATTTTTGATGAAATCCGAGAGCTTTCTTACCCTGCATAGACAGCAAGGGAACTACCACGTTCAAAACCCAGAAAGATAGTAAGGACTAGGGGTGTCCCCTAAGGATTTTCATAGTCGAATCTGAATTTTCGAATCTTGCCGATATTCGACTGATAGCCGAATCATATGTTTTGGGGGCAGGGCAAAATACATTACCAAGAGTCAAGTTAGACATTCGACAGTCATAATTACGTTAACACACAGGGAAAATGTGTAACGGACGCCTCGCAGATAGAACAGATGAAGAGATAATCAACGTAGTAGCCTACTACAATGAAGCGCTTTACTGCAGCACAACTCAACCAAATGTATCTTATACGAGATAAATAATATATACACAATATATATAAACTGGCTGAAATGTTTTGGAATCACTTGTACCCTACCTGATCGAAAAAATCCAGTCTTTCACTCTGCCTGTGTCAATTTGAGTCTTGTTAAAGTTTTAAATCCCTGCCGCCAAGATGCTCCTCTGTCAGTCACGGATTATGGAAAGTGAAACTTGAATCTATAGGGGTGGTTGGATTTATTCACGCACGTTAAAATATTTATTTGAAGCTTCTTTCTTTTCAGATTCTAATTTACACCATTATTTTAATAGGCTGTATATTAACTTACTGGGAAAAAAACAGTAGTTCTATGTGAAATCAGACATTTGAGCACCACCATATAGCCAAAATGGCATGATCATAACACCCTGCGAATATTCGAGTCGAGTCGAATCAGGCTCCTCCTATCGAAGCATCGAATCTTTGACTATTCGGGGTCACCCCTAGTAAGGACATCGATAAACTAGTATGTGACATCAGTGGTTCAACTGTAATTTTATGATGCTACGAGAATACTTTTTGTGCGCAAAGAAAACAAAAATAACGACTTTATTCAACAATCCTTCTCTTCTGTGTCAGCATCCGCCACCATTCACGAGAGTACCACAACGCATGTCTGTGATGCTGCTGATGCAGGAGCCGGCGTTCTGACATAGAACACACATGCACTGCGCCTTGTTCACAAGCAGAGGAATGCACATGCATGCGCCGTGGTACTTTGTAGTGTTTTATATGATGTAGCATAACTCATAACAATTTTTTTTCTTTTTCTTTTCTTTTTTTTTTCTTCAGTTTTTAATTATCCTTTACCTTACTCACAGGAATTTTGTCACCCTACCTGATCGAAAAAATCCAGTCTTTCACTCTGCCTGTGTCAATTTGAGTCTTGTTAAAGTTTTAAATCCCTGCCGCCAAGATGCTCCTCTGTCAGTCACGGATTATGGAAAGTGAAACTTGAATCTATAGGGGTGGTTGGATTTATTCACGCACGTTAAAATATTTATTTGAAGCTTCTTTCTTTTCAGATTCTAATTTACACCATTATTTTAATAGGCTGTATATTAACTTACTGGGAAAAAAACAGTAGTTCTATGTGAAATCAGACATTTGAGCACCACCATATAGCCAAAATGGCATGATCATAACACCCTGCGAATATTCGAGTCGAGTCGAATCAGGCTCCTCCTATCGAAGCATCGAATCTTTGACTATTCGGGGTCACCCCTAGTAAGGACATCGATAAACTAGTATGTGACATCAGTGGTTCAACTGTAATTTTATGATGCTACGAGAATACTTTTTGTGCGCAAAGAAAACAAAAATAACGACTTTATTCAACAATCCTTCTCTTCTGTGTCAGCATCCGCCACCATTCACGAGAGTACCACAACGCATGTCTGTGATGCTGCTGATGCAGGAGCCGGCGTTCTGACATAGAACACACATGCACTGCGCCTTGTTCACAAGCAGAGGAATGCACATGCATGCGCCGTGGTACTTTGTAGTGTTTTATATGATGTAGCATAACTCATAACAATTTTTTTTCTTTTTCTTTTCTTTTTTTTTTCTTCAGTTTTTAATTATCCTTTACCTTACTCACAGGAATTTTGTCCATATGAAACTGAGTGGCCCGTATGTGACAGAAATAATATGCTTGTTTTTATTATACATACACATTGTGGTAACAAGACACATACTCATCCATTCCTTTAAAAGCTCATATTCAGAAACACTTCATATATCAACTACAAAATGTGCTGTGATCTGACATTAAAAAAAAAGTGTTGTTGGGTTTATAGATGATTTGATCTATCAGTTTTTACGAAGTTTATAATTTATGTTGGTTTTAGATTAAATGTTATTTGAGTCTGAAAGGCTCTGGGTCTGAGTATGTCCCTGCCAAAATGAGCATGCTGACATACTCTTAAATTAGGCTAAGCTCTTTAATTTATTTGAAAATAGTCAATAACATTAAAATGATCCTGTAAATATGCATTCTTTTAAAATGGTAACAGCAGTAAATTAGAAGTCCAGTGACAATTTTGAACAGCAGGTTGCAGAGATACAATGAACAATTAATTAATTTTGAATGTTTCTTAGGCACATGTATTAAAGTAAGTGCTGTAGTTTTAAAATACAGCGTTACACTCCATCTCCATCCATGTTTCAGGGAACTTGACTAACAGGGCAAGAAGTGATCGCTCTTCAGCAAACGAAGGAGATTTCTGTTGCTGGAGCTGAACTCAAACAAATTTGCCCCACTGAAGAGATAAATGTTATCTGGAAGAAAAGAATTTGTCAAACTTCATGAAATTGTGTATTAATGCTAGAATAATTTCTTTGTATTGTTGAAGATCTGTTGAAAGTAAAGTAACAAACACCTACTGTTGGACATGTGGGCTGCTGTAACCTCTCCAGTCAACCCTGGAAATCCATTTTCCAGTCGTTTGGGATTCCCTTTGTCCATCTTCTTTTCCCTCTCATCATAGCTACCAAAAAAAGAGGACATTTTAAATTCTAATGTCTTTTCAGAGCAAATGTTAGGGATTTTTGTTTATGATGCAGCACTTGACCCACCTATAGTAATATATGTCAAAGAAGAGCAGTGTTTTTCCTGAGTTCTTGTTGTGGACGGCAGCATCAACTTTTGTCACAGATGCTGGCAGACCAAAGCTGCTGAGAGGTTTAGGATAGCCGGGCTCAAGATTTTTGTCATTAAACGCCCAGACTTGTTTACCTATAAATAAATACAGGCCACGATAAGAGTTTTTCTGAGCACGGATATAGAAATCGTAATGGGGATTGTGTTCTCAGCATTCCCAGATTGTTTGAGAAGATACCTTTGAATAGGAAAAGTTTATCTTGCACTGGATCCTCATAAGCAGCATCTATATTATCTGGAGCGTTGGGCCAGAAACTTTTGATCAGTAGTTGTGCTGCACTTCTGCTCGGAGATCTACGCCAGAAAAATCTGAAGAGAGAGACGTTCAATTTAGGGCTGCACGATATTGGTAAAAACTCACATTGCGATATATTTTTTTCTGCGATATATATTGCGATATGGAAAAAATATCAAATGACTTGAATATCTCTATTTGGAAAAAAAAAATCAATGACTGGGGTAATTTTGTAGGCGAGTAAATCAGCATAGGAAATAAACAAATTACAAGCATAGATAAATAACAGAACAAAGATACAAATTAAATAAGTAGTGCTTTATATTTTTCAGGTAAGTCTAACAGTATTTAGGTACAGAAATTGAATAATCAAATGTAAAATAACACTGCATAGTTTTCACTATAAATTAAATCTAACAAATCTGTGTTAAAGCTACAAAAGTGATTTTTCTTTGTGTTTTGTTGTTTGATTAACGTTCATAACAGAGAAAGCAACAGGAACATTAAAGGGGTCATATGATGCAATTAAAATTTTTCCTTTCTCTTTGGAGTGTTACAAGCTCTTGGTACATTAAGAAGATCTGTAAAGTTGCAAAGACTAAAGTCTCAAATACACGCTGTAACAACGTTCGTAGTTCGGGAAGAAGGAGACGGGAACCGGCGAACATTTAAAGAAAACTTTAATAAAATAAACAAACACAAAATAGCGCGACAGCCCCTCGCGGACGACTGTCGCGCACAAACAAAACCAAAACACAAAACAAAATCCAGGCCTGGTCCTCTCTCGTCTTTCACTGTCGTCACTCCTCCTTTTATCCTTCCGGAGCTCCTCCATGGGACTCGAGACCGGTGAGTGGTGCAGGTGTCGCTCATTATCAATTACTCCACCGGCCTCGCTCCGTTCCCACGGCTCTCGGCCCCGCCCCCACTCGTCACATACCCCCATCGCCCCTCGCAGGCCGGGGGGTACTCCCGAGACTGCGCTCTACTCCCCCCCTCCCAACTGTGTTTACAAGGATACTTGCAGAGCACAGTATTTCAGGCACAAATAGACGCAGAAGTGAAGAGAATTCAGTGTTCACGTGCATCTGCGTGGCTCTCACCGAGTCTACACTGGATGCAGCGCGGCGCGACAAATCCCCAACAGTAAACTGATGCCTCGTTCTCTTTATGACGTACTGACACAAAGTTCAAATGATATGCAGCGGTCGCTTTGTCTAGACAGACTTTGGGGGCGTTGACATGTCGCGCCTAAAAACGCGTGGAAAACGCCGGCTGCGCCGCTTTGTCCTTCTTTCCAAAGCGCTCGGGAGCTTGCGCTTTCGTGGCATCTGCCGTTGCTAAGCGACCGTGACCTGCGCTCTCCACGACAACGCGGAAGTTTCAACAAAGGATAAATGGATTTCCAGCACTGAAAATCACTTGCAGTAGCTCTGCTACTAAATTTATTTAATATGGATATCTCTGTACAGCTGTCGCGTCCGGTGTAGACACCGTGTCTGTGTGTGAGCAAAGAAAACAATCCATATAAATATAACGATCAGTATACTAAACATCGCACACCCTGCGATGTGACTATCGCGGATGCGCACATCGCAATATCGATGCTCGCGATATCGATGCTGAAACGATATATTGTGCAGCCCTTCAATTTAAACATTTTGGGCCCTATTTTAACGATCTAAGCACAAGGTCTAAAGCGCATGGCGCAGGTGCACTTAAGGCATGTCCAAAACCACTTTTGCCCGGCGCATGGTCTAAAAGGGTTGTCCCTATTCTCTTAATGAGTGATGGGTGTGTTTTGGGCAATAAACCAATCAGAGTCTCATCTCCCATTCCCTTTAAGAGCCAATTGCGCTCGTGCCATGGCGGATTTGCTATTTACACGGCGGAATTTGCAAGCGCAAAGACAGAACGTACGAGAGGAAGGAAACGGAGCTGCTCGTGCGCGAGCAAATAGGTAGTTTAATTCTGATACATGCAATTACTATCCATTATGACATCTAGGCATTTTTATATTTATGTAGCCTACACAATAATAATCTTTTACATTGCAATCCTTTAATTTTTAATATTTGGCATGTTTGTGT